GCTCTGCGCCCGTCTGGAGCAGACACATGGGCGGCTCCTCGTGGCCCACGTGCTGGGCTACATCGTGTCTTCCCGGTAAGTCTCTGTGTTTTGAAACTCTTATTTATTTATTTATTTATGTTTAATTTTTTATTTTTAGAGATAGGGGTCTAGTTATGTCACCCAGGCTGGAGTGCAGAGGCGCGATCACAGCTCACTGCAGTCTCAAGTGATCCTCACGCCTCACCTGCTGAGTAGCTGGGACTACAGGTGTGCACCACCGTGCCCAGCAAAATATAATTTTTTAATTTTAATTTTTAGAGATGGGGTCTGACTCTGTCGCCCAGGCTGGAGTGCAGTGGCATGACCGTAGGTCACTGCAGTCTCCAACTTCCAGGCTTAAGTGATCCTCCCATCTCAGCCTGCCGAGTAGGGTAGCTGGGACTACAGGCGTGCACCACTGTACCCAGATAAATATATTTTTTTATCTTTGTTTTTAGAGGTAGGGGTCTAGCTCTGTCTCCCACGCTGGAGTGCAGTGGCACAGTCATACCTGACTGCAGTCTCCAACTCCGAGGCTCAAGTGATCCTCCCATCTCAGCCTGCCGAGTAGGGTAGCTGGCACTACAGGTGTGCAACACCGTGCCCAGCCAAATGCAATTTTGGTTTGTCAACTATACCTCAACAAAGCTGGGAAAATAAATCCACACATGCAAAAGAAAGAACATGGTTGTTCTTTCTACATGGTTGCTTAGCCAAGTGAAAGTCTCAGGGCTATAAATTGCAACAAACTAGGCCAGGCATGGTGGCTCACACCTGTAATCCCAGCACTTTGGGAGGTCGAGGCAGGCGGATCACCCAAGGTCGGGAGTTGGAGACCAGCCTGACGAACATGGAGGAACTCTGTCTCCACTAAAAATACAAAAAAATTAGCCGGACGTGGTGGTGCATGCCTATAATCCCAGCTACTCGGGAGGCTGAGGTAAAAGAATCACCTGAACCCAGGAGGCAGAGGTTGCAGTGAGCCAAGATAGTGCCACTGTGCTTCAGCCTGGGTGACAAAGGAAGACTCCACCTCAAAAAGAAAGAGAAAGAGAAAGAGAAGGAGGGAAGGAAGGAAGGAAGGAAGAAAGGAAGGAAGGAAGGATAGTAAGAAAGAAAAGAAAAGAAGGAAGGGAGAGATAAAGGAAAGAAAGAAAGAGAAAGAAAGAAAAAGAGAAAGAAAGAAAAGGAAAGAAAGAGAAAGAAAAAAGAAGAAAGGAATGAAGGAAAGAAGGAAGGAAGGGAGGAAAGGAAGGAAGGAAGAAAACAAAAGCAAAAGCAAAAACAGCAAGCAGCAGAGAGGAAGGGGTTAATCAGAAGCACCAAGCAGCCACATTCCCTCCCCTGAGTTTGTCCTCTGCCAATTGGCGGAGACACCAAGGAACAAAACTTTGCCTTTACTGCAACTGGCCAACAGCAAACACTCAAAACCATCATCCAAAATGCTGGACAACATAGTTTTGCCTCTTCTCAGTTTTAGGGGGATTTTTGTTTTGTTTTGTTTTGTTTTTTTCTCAGCCTGTGCCATTTCAGACCTTTGTCAGTTACCACAAATTAATCTAGAGGGTGGTGGTCACCCTAGCGAGGATGTCTTTCTGCTTGTTTCTTTGCCAGAAATAGAAACACATTCCTGTTAGTGCAAGAAATAAGAGAATAGGCTAGGTGCAGTGGCTCATACCTGTAATCCCAGTGTTTTGGGAGGCTAAGGTGGGAGAATCACTTGAATCCAGGAGTTTGAGACCAGCCTAGGCAACACAGTGAGGCCCCTGTCTGTACAACAAAAAATTTTTTAATTAGCTGACCATGGCCTATAGACCCAGTTACTCAGGAGGCTGAGATGGGAGGATCACTTGAGCGCAGGAGTTGAAGGCTGCAGCAAGCCATGATTGTGCCACTGCACTATAGACTGGGAGACAAAGGAAGACCTTGTCTCAAAAGAAAGAAAGAAGAAAAAGGAAGGAAGGAAGGAAGGAAGGAAGGAAGGAAGGAAGGAAGAAAGAGTGTGTGTGTGTGTGTGTGTGTGTGTGTGTGTGTGAGAGAGAGAGAGAGAGAGAGAGAGAGAGAGATCGAGATCCAATGGAGAGTTAGGGAAATTCAGGGCCGTCTTATAGCTGACTCCGGGGACATATCCCAGATTTCCCAACTATAAGAGTGCAAATACCGCCTGGGGTGGGTGGCTCACACCCATAATCCCAGCACTTTGGGAGGCCAAGGTGGGAGAATTACTTGAGCCCAGGAGTTAAAGACCAGCCTGGGCAAAAAAACGAGAGCCCCTGCCTCAGTGAAAAATAAAAACATTAGCTGGACATGGCTCACACCTGTAGTCCCAGCTATTCA